CTCCTCCCATCACCTGCCCCATCCCACTCACCTTCCTGTCACCTCCCCACTGCAGTCACCCCCCCATCAACCCCTAGTCACCTCCACCTCACCCCTTTCTCGCCCCTCCCTCCTCCCATCCCCTCCTCCCACTGCAGTCACCTCCGGTCACCTCCTGCCACCCCACCCATCACCTCCCGTCACCTCCTCCCGGCCACAGTCACCTGGTAGGTTCTACCGCCAGCCTGGCCCCTGCGCCCACTCCCCGAGCCCCAACCAGAGGGCGATGCCGCCCCGACCCCAGCCACTGGACGCCCTCCTGCACCTTCTCTCCTGGTGGAGTGAACCGCACCACCCTGCTGGCCCGCCCAAGGCGTCGCCCCCCCCCACCCCACCAGCCACACCCGGATGTGCGCGGGCATCCAAGTGTGTGTGCATGTGTGAGGGAGCATGTGTCCGTGTGCTGTGTGCGAGTGTGAAGTGTGTGTGTGCATGTGTGCGCATGGCAGTGTATGCACAGGTGTGCATGTGCGTGTGCAAGTGGCAACGTGTATCTGAGTGCGTGCGTGTGTGTGTACGCCAATGTGTATGTGCATTTGTGTGCGACTGCGTGCGAGCTTGTGTACAAGTGTGATGTGAGCATGAGCGAGGGCAGAAGCGTGCATGTGCTTTATGCAAGTGCGAATGGGAGCGTATGTGTGCGTGCTTGTGAACATGTATGTGTACACGTGCTCGTGTGCAAGTTGTGTACATGCGTGCATGAATTTGTGTGCGCGTGTGCATGTGGGTGGGGGTGTGCACAGTGCATGTGCTGGTGTATGTGAGTACGTGTTCGTGGGAGTTTTGTGCACACGTTTGTGTGCAAGTGCGTATGCATCTGTGAGCGTGTGCCTGACTCACGTCCGTGCCACAACCCTGCTCCTGCCATCCGAGCATGGCTCTAGGGCTCCGGCAAAGTGCTCTCCATGAAGCCAGTGCGGCCCTCGCCATCCTCTGGCTAGCAGCAACTGTTCCCACTCTGTGGTCCCTCTTCCCAGGGGCCCGTCCTGTCAGCGGCAGGCTGGGCAGTTCCGTCTGGCCTCAGGCCCCGGGGATTGTCCGAGAGGTCGTCACGCTCCGTCTCCAGGTCCCTCCACCCCAACCTGCCTTGGGAGCCTGGGTCAGCTCCTGCACCAACGCTTCCCGGGGCGCCCGCCGACGGGCCCCTCCGCAGCAGTGTCTGCCAGGCTGGCACACACGCCCTGACCGTGCCCTCCCCGGGTGCTGTGGGCGGTCAAGCAGGGAACACGCTCCACCCTCGCTCGCCCTGGAGACGGGCCGGCTACCCGCAGACACTCCACCTCACCCCTTCCTCACCCGCCTTCCTCTGTCACCCACCGACGCCCCCACACAGTCGCAGGGCCAGGCGCCAACCTGCAGGAGCAGAGGGCACCCACGCGGGCCGGAGACGCCCAACTCCCCAGGGAGCCACGAGAGCTCTGGGCTCTCCACAGCATGCGGCCCCGTCAGGCAGACCCAGAAGATCGACCGCAGAGCTGGATCGACATTATCAAGGGAAATTAAAGTGTTTCCGGTCACAACGAGAGTCGTCCTTTTAAGGGAGAAATACCCTTTGTCACGAGAAGTCCTTCCCTCCTCAGAGGTGCCTCTGAGGCACAAACGAGCCCCAGCCCTGGTCAGCTGGGGTGTGTTCCCGGGGCCCCGTGAGACCTGTGGCACTCACGTCCCGCTCCCTACCAGAAGGCCTCCTGTTGGCGAGGCTATCGGGGGCAGCACTTCCACTTTCCTAACAGAGATTAAGTTTGGGGGGTTGGTTTTCTCTGTTGCTTTGTTTGGGGTGTTTTTTAGCCACACCCAGTAGTGCTCAGGCTTACTCCCACCTTGGTGCTCAGGGACATCACCATGTCCAGGGGACCATATGGGGTGCCGGGGACCGAACCCAGGTCTGCGGCACGCGAGGCAAACGCCCACCCACCGTACCATTTAGAGCAGATTAAGTCTTGTGTGCAGAATATATGAGTTTCATCTGTCAGTGTGTGTGTGTGTGTGTGTGTGTGTGTGTGTGTGTGCGGCACCATCTTCCCTGACTTCACCTTTCCTCAGCTAAATCCTTAGAGCTCGTCCCCATCGGTGCGGGTCTTTGAAATTAACACTGGGGAGTCGGCTGCAGCTGACTCTGCGCTCGGCTCTGGGGCCAGGCGACAGACCTGGTCTCCCCACGGGCCTCTGCAGCTGGCCGGGAGGGTCCTGCCTCTCTTGGAGCCTCTCTAAGTTGCCCATCCTCATTTCAGGTCCCTTAAGGAAAGGGTCATTGTCCCCTCCCCAGACAGCTGCACTGAGCAGACACCGGCCAACCACGTGCCAGCTGGCCGCCGACTGACAGCTCTCTGGAGGGTCATCTTGTTGCCCGCCCCCTTCTGCAAACTGGTGGCCAGGGCCCAGGGGACGGCTCTGACCCCCAGCAGCTCTGAGCCCACAGTGCACCCTGAGCAGACCCGTCACCCCCGTGTGTCCCCGGAGCCCCTGCCATGTCCAGAGCAGCTGTGGCTGCGAGAGCAGCCGGGAAGAGTTTCAGGCCCGGGTTCCGGAGACGCACTTGCCCTTCGACTCTTGAAGAAACAGACATGCGTTTGTCATGGAAGCATCCCCGCAGGTCACTCCCTCCCACATCCTGGGCCTGCTTTCCCCACCCCGCACACTGGGCAGCGTTCCCATCTCCTACAGCCCAACTTCTAGAACTTTCTACCCAGGACGCCTTTTCCCCCCGAGAAACACAACCCAGATGAATTCGCCAGAGAAGAAGAGGAACAGCCGCGGGTTTAGCCCGCGTTTGACAGGAACTGTATCTGGTCACAGCGTGGTTAGGAGCCATTGACACGGTCGCATTTTCTGGGACCCCACACTCAGAGTCTGGGCTAGAAGCCTCAGAGGCGAGTCCCGCAGAAGCACCAAGAAGCTGAGCACACTTCCGCCGGGCGGGCCCTGCCGGAGGGTCGTGCAGGAGGAGGGGAAGAAGGACACTGGGGCCGTTCATGCTCTCGGCTCGGCCCCAAATAGCTGTGCACCCCTGTGCCCCTCCCTGCCCGCCAGGACCACACAAGGTGAGCTGGACTCTGCCCTGCGGCCACCAGCCTATCGGGCCAGGCCACTCGATGCTCCCGGCACACACACACATACACACACACACACACAAACACACACACATGCACGCACACACACACGCAAACACGCAAACACGCACACACACACACGCACACATGCACGCACACCTGCCCAAGCGTCTGCGGGACTTCTCCAAGTCAAGCCAGGAGGATTCTCACAGCACCCAAGGGCTCCAGCTTCCCAGCTGGGTCAGTGACTTTCCTGCTTGCTTGTCTTTTATGTGGGGGGCACACCCAGCTGTGCTCAGGGCTTACTCCTGGGTCTCTGCTCAGGCATCACTGGTGGCAGTGACTGGCGACCTTAGGGGATACCAGGTTGAACTGAGCTGGCAGCCCACGGCTCAGCAGCTCTCTAAAGAGCTGAAACAAAGTGGCAAGAGGACCGGCCCCGGGCAGGCCAGCCAGAGCAGATGCAGGAGGTGCCAACGGCTGGCTCCTCTGGGTGGGTGGTCACTCTGCACCAGCCTGGGGGTCTCCCTCCACCGGTCAGCAGTCAGCGACGCCTCTGACGGGCCTGGCAGGGCCGCTGGCCCCTCTACCTTGCACTCTTGATCCACTTTTGTGAGGCTGAAAATGAAACAGGGTTTGCATCTTCAATAACGGGGTCCGGCAGCCTTGGCGCGCCAACCTGCTTCTCAGAGGCAGAAGAGACAAAGCGGGAAGTGGAGAAAGGACTAACGCGTCCCGCAATGAGAACGACCTGGACGGGACGTTTCTTACAGAACCCAGAACCCCCGGCTGCCCCCGAAAGGCTCGTTCTCACGGTCAAAGAAGAAAGCATCTGCCTGTCTTCAGACTTCCGCCAACTTGTCAGGCACTGGCAGAAGGAACCACACTGGGCAGTGGGGACGGTCAGACCCCCTCAGGCCCCACCAGGCCTCCAGCCAGCCCACGGTGGGCCTGCTGGACCCAGGAAGCAGGCGGGAAGGTTCCCGCCAGGGCACACATGGCCGGTCCCCTGGCGAGAGACAGGTCAGAGAGAGGGCACAGCGGGGAGGACACTGACCAGCCTGGGCTCCATCCCCAGGAACCAACAGGGTCGCCTGCGTCCCTCCAGGCCTGACCCTTGAGCAGAGCCAGGAGTAAGCCCTGCGCACCAACAAGCCATGTGGCTTAGACGAAGCCCCAATACCACCCCCCAAACTCCAGCATCTCCGCCTTGGCCCCACCCGACACACACAGCTTCTCTGGGCCGCCGGGACAGGCTCGGCAGGTCCGTGCCTTTAGGGGGGAGTCGGAAGGCTGCCCTGGGGCCCCCTGCAGGCGCGGGGGGACGGTTCCCCCCGGGGGCCAGCCCACGCGGCTGGCACGCGGCAGCCCTCTCGTCCGCGAACACCCCGACCCGGGACCACCGGCGCGGCGCCGGGGGAGCGCCCGGCAGCAACTCCCAAGTTTTCTTGGGCCGGCGGCCCCCGCCCCCACGCGGGCCTGCAGAAGCCGGGGGTCCCCCGCTCCGTCCCCGCCGGCCGCCCGCGCTGCGGACTCCGCGGCGCCCAGCCTCCGGGCCCGCGGGCCGGTCCCTAAGCGGCCGCGCCCCGCGGCTCCGGGTCCCGCGGCCCCGTCCCGGAGACCCGCGGGGGCGCCGCCAGGGGGGCGCGGCGGCGGCGGCCGCTCCGGGCCAACGGGTCGGGCGCGCGGGCCCCCGGCGGCGCGGGGCGCGGGGTCCGGGCGCGGGCGGCGCGCGCGGGGCCGGCGGCGCAGACAAAGGCTGCGGCGCGCACGCGGTGGGCAGCGGCGCCGGCCCCGCGCCCGCCGGGCCGCCCGGCCGCGCCCCATCCGGCCGGCCGCCCCGGGCCGCGGCCGGCGGGCCCGCGCCACGCCTTCCCGGCCCATTGTCCGCCGCCCGCCCGCCCGACTCACTGGGGCTGAGGAAGCACTCGGTCAGCCTGCGGAAGCAGCTCGCGTGGGTCGACGCTCCATCGTCCATGGCGCGGCCGCGGGGCGCGGGGCGCGGGGCGCCGGGCACGGCCGGGCGGCGGCGGCGGCGGGGCCGGGGCGCGGGGAGCGGCGAGCCCGGGAGCGCGGCGAGAGCGAGAGGCGCCGCCGCCGCCGCCGAGAGCCGGGGGGGCCGCTCCGGGCGGGCGCAGCCGCGTCCCCCGCCGCCGGCACCGCCGCCCCGAGCCGCGCGCCCGCCTCCCCGGGAGCCGCGCCGCGCCGCGCCGCGGGAGGGGGCGGCGGCCGGCGCGGGGGGCGGGGAGGCGCCGCGGGAGGGCGCGGGGGGCGGGCGCCGGCGGCCCGGGACTGGCCGCGGGCCCCGGGGCCCCGGGCCGCGCCGCGCCGCGCCGCGCGCCGCCCCCGCGCGACCCGCCGCGCGCGCCGGGGCGCGGCCCGGCCGGGTCCGCACGTCGCGGGCCGGGGGCGCGCGGGGTCCCGCGGGGTCCCGCGGGGTCGCGGCGGGGAGGCGGCGGGGCCGAGCGCCGCAGTGCCGGGCCGGGGCCGGGGACGCGGCGGTGACGGCGGCGACGCCCACGGGCGGTGCGGGCGCTCCCCGCGCCGCCCGCGCCCGCGCCCGCCGCCCCCGCCGCCGCCGCGACCCCCTCGGAGACCCCGCGGGGCGGCCGCGCTCCCGGCTGCGGAGGCCGCGCGGACTCGAGCGCGAGTGGACCCGGCACGGCCAGCTCCCATCACGAACTGGGGCGCGGGGAGCCGGGCCCACCCCCGGGCCCCGCGCCCGACACCCACTCGGAAACAAACTCGGGTGCACGTGCCCAGGCTGCCGGCCACGGCGCCGCCGCATCAGGCAGACGACGACGCGAAACCCCCAAAAACAAAAGCGACGGGATGCCCTGGCCTCAGAGCCCCCAGAGTTCCCCCCGTCACTCGTGCCCCTCCCGGACGCGCCCGGCACCCGCACCGTGGGCATGAACTAGGCCTCCCGACGCGGACCCGCCAAGTCGCCGCCCGGAGTTGGGGACTCGGCGCGCCCGAGCGCACGGAGCGCAGCCGGCCGCCTCTCCGCCCGCGCGCGGCGTGGCCCACAGGGCTCGGAGCCGGGGGCCGCGGCCGGCCCAAGGCGGCCCGGGCTGCCCAGAGGTCCCGGACGAGGCCACGTCCCGCGAGTGGAGGCCGCGCGCCGAAGCTCAGCTTTGCGGACGAGCGAGGCGCGAGCGCACGGGGCAGGCGCCGGTGGCCGCCGGGTCCGGGACTCCTGGATGCGGGCGCTCCCGCCTCGCCCTGCGAGACCGCGCCTCTCGGTCCAGTTCTCTCTGTGTGTGTGTGTGTGTGTGTGTGTGTGTGTGTGTGTGTGTGTGTGTGTGTGTGTGTGTGTGTTGAGTTCTCCAGATTCTTCCCTAGTGTGTGCTTATTCCTCTGCGCGGGGTTTGAGGGGGAGGGACGCGGCTATTTGCATGAGGCCGAGCCGGTGGGACAGTTCCCCTCTCCACGAGTGGGCGGGACGGTCAGTTGGTGCTTAGGACGAGTGGACCCGAACGCTGCGCAGAATGTCGCACCTGCTGAGCCTCAGCCCCCAAATCTGCACAACGAAAAGTGGTCCCGGAGAATCCGACCTTCCTGAGCGAGGGGGTTTGCCCTGGGGTTTCGTTATTCTTCCCGGCGATTCGAGGTCCTCGAAAGACCGCCAGGCTCCCTGTCTCCTGCGCAAAGCTGGGGCGCGCCACGACCGGCCGCGCGCGCGGTGAGCCCGGGACGCGTCCGGAGCCCAGGTGCGCCGAGCGCGCGCCGCCCCGCGCCCCACCCCAGCTGCGCGCAGGGCTGGGCAGGGCGATGTGTCCGCAGAGCTTTCACAGTTCGTTCTTTGGCCACGTTTACGTTTTCCTCCTGGTTTAAGTTTTCCTTCCTGGAGCTTTTAGAGTTACCAAAGTTGACTCCGCATTGTCAACGGATTTTGCGTTTGATTTGAACATGAGCTTCCCGGCGGTCCCAGGCCGGGCGCAAGAGGGGCGGGGTGCAGGACGCGGGGGGAGGGAAGTTCAACTATCCGTTCTCTGGGTCTTTGCTGTCTGAAGGAGAACTTGGGGACCTCCAGGAACCCCTTTCCGGAATCCACCTTCTCCCCATTCTCCATTCTTCCTCTCTTCACTCCCTTTCTAGAAGGGACGCAGTTCCTGGACAAATTAAAAACGAAATAGCATGACAGGAGGAAGGAAGGCGAGCGCTCAGCTGTCGCTGAGGACCTGTTACCTAGGGGGTGATCCTCCGCGGGGTGCAGGATCCCAGTCCCTCAGGGGTCGTTGCTGTCCCCACGCCATTCTGCCATCTTCCGATCCAGGCAAAGGTTTGCTTCCACAAAGAAAAGGACAAAGGCTGGCTCACTCGCCCTGGCAGGCACGACAACACCTGCCTGAGGTGTTTCCCAGTTCCTGTCCTCTGTGAGCCTGCCTAGCTGCAGGGCAGGAAAGGGAAGTGCCACAAGCATCTGTCGCCCAGAGCGTGGGAAGCCAGGCACCGGCAGGGGCCAGCCACTAGCTCTGTGTGCCCAGCTGCCATTCATTGCTGGGTCCAGATGTTCTCAGATTACAGCACCTGGGCAGCTGGACTCTCAGCAGGCAGGCGCTGGCTGCGGTCATTCTCCCTCATTCCCAGCGAGGGGATAGAGCTGCACATCTGCAGAGAACAGACATTGAGAGGCTGGCAAAGGGCAAGTCAACACCTACCCGGCCAAGGCGGTTAGCGGATGATTTGCAGTTTTGTGACGTTCTGAGCACAGGGTGAGGAGCAGGATAAATCGTTCTGAGACAGGTGGCCAGTTTCCCATGTCAGAGTTTCCTGTTCCGTTGTTAGCGGGTCACCAACAGCTCTGCTGGCCAGACCCGTGGACAGTGTCTCACACTAACTCTGCGGGCTGGGGGGGTTGCACACTTATGTCCTGACGTATCACACGTGCGGTCAGCTGCCAGCCACTCGAGGACCCTAAGTTCACCAGTGCCTGCACTGCGGGTTCCACGCTTGTCTCCCCAGTCTCTGCGTTTGCTCAAGCCCAGTCTGCCAGACCCTCCCATAGTCCCTGGAACGGTTCTCTCCCTGCATACGTGGGTCTGTTGTGGTAGCCTGAAGAGATCAAGTGTATGTGAATTAGAACTGACAAGTGATCCTATGTTCAGGGGTTTGTGAGCCAGCCTGGCAGCTGTTTGTGGCTTATCGCCCATTTGGCCAAGCACCCAGCACCCAGCACCCAGTGCCGAATGCACCCTGAGCCCATTTCCTCAGTGTCGCTCTGCAGTCCTGACCAGTGTGAGGGTGATGCCCTTACAGCATTACAGTGAAGCCTAAAGAAAAGTCCACTTTTGGTGGAGAATGGGCACTGGTGGAGGGATGGGTATTGGATCATCGTATAACTGAAACCAAGCACAAAATCTTGTAAGTCTACAACTGTACCTCATGGTGTTTCACTAATAAAAATTTTTTAAAAAGAAAGAAAAGTCCACTTTGATTTTAGTAAAATAAAAATATTATATTGGGGCTGGAGAGATAGCACAGCAGGTAGGGTGTTTGCCTTGCATGTAGTCAACATGGCCAACACAGGTTCGATTCCCAGCATCCCATATGGTCCCCCGAGCACCGCCAGTGATTCCTGAGTGCATGAGCCAGGAGTAACCCCTGAGCATCGCTGGGTGTGACCCAAAAATAAAACAAAATTTTAAAAAATATTATTATATAGAGCAATGCTATGAGTGGAACAGCATTAAACATAGACCAGAAATGAACATATCTAGGTTTTCAGTTTCAACTAAATGATGCTCATGAACTTAAAGTAGAAATAAAATAAACTACAATTTTATGATTGATTTATGTTGTAAGAAACAACCTGAAAAACAACATGAGTTCTATTTTTTCTCACAAAAAAAATCAAACTTGTGTTTAAATTTTAATTGAACTATGTTATAATGGTATATCTTTTAATTATTCATATTTGGAGTAAATTTCAAGAATCCATATTTCTGTGGAAAGGATATATTTCTTGGTAAGTAATAAAGCCCAAATGACAATTTTTATTAAACCAAAGCTAAACATCTGATTCCCCCCGGAAAATAAACCCTACTTAATAGCTGTGAATTTTTGGTCATGAGGGTGCTGGTGTTTGAAAGTACCAGTGATGAAACACGATCAGTCCTGAGTTATCCTGAAACCCACGTGAGCATTCTTCTTATGTTAAACTGTTATCTGGGGAGATAGCACAGTGGGGAGGGCATTTGCCTTGCATGCAGCCAACCCAGGTTTGATCCCCGGCATCCCATGGGGTCCCCAGAGCACCGCAGGAGTGATCCCTGAGTGCAGAGCCAAGAGGGTAACCCTTGAGCATCGCCTGGTGTGACCCAAAAAAGCCAAGAAAAAAAAAAGAAACTCCTGTGATCTTAAAATCTGGAACTCAACTTAAAAGATATTGTGCTGAAAACATGTCAAATCACTGAGATTTGTAGAATTCATACCCCTTTTCGTTTCTCAAAACCAGTTACAAAGTTGGATGCAATGGAGAACTCTCCTTCAGTGGTAAACACTTCATCAAGTCAGACGTGTCTATTTCATTGAAGACTTTGTTTCAAAAATCAAATAAGAAATGCAGTGAGAGAAGATGGGATACTCTGTAGCCATGCTAAGGAAGGGTGTGCAGGTCCGGGTTCTGTCAGACTGGAGGCCTCAGGAGTAAAGTAGGTCCGAGGGAGGACAGACACCCACTGACCTTACTCATGTGGAATAATGAAGACAAAACAGGAGGAGCAGTATGGAACAAAGACAGACACTTGTCCTGGATGAAAGAGTGGGGGGGGGGGGGGTGTCCCGCGGGAGGGGGCGGGGCTGCACCGGTGGGCCCGAGGCAGCTGGAGACAGGAGACTCCTGGGCAAGAGGTGGGCGAGGTGGGGAGCGGACCTCCAGACCACAGCACGACGAAGACTGTGGCCAGCCTGGGCCTAAACTAGCATTAAGTGAGTTTTTAAAAGAACGCATGCGTTCAAAAGAATAAAGAAGGGCCGGAACGGCAGGACAGCAGGCAGGGGTGTGTCCTG